ATATATATATGGTTCTTTGTATTAATGGTTCTTTGTACACAATTGATACGTATCAATACCTACTAAAGCTAAGGTCCCAATTACGCCGGTGCCCGTCGGGGATGTAGCCCCGGCTGGCCCCTGCCGGGTTCAGGACGGGCGGGCATCGGCTGTCGTGGTCACAATTAAAAGTTTCCTTCAGTACCATTTTGTTAGAAATTTTGTCACCCTCTTTGGTCGGTATCCGGCAGGTAACAGGCAGATTCTCTGACGATGACTTGTATTGACCTATACGTAATGCAGAATTCACGTATTTGTTGTGATCATTTGATCTGTGAGGTCACACATTTTACCCGGGTTTACGAAGTACACACCTTTATTCTGTTCATCTGGTCTGTGACGTAAGAAATGTGTCCCGGTGGAATGCCGGCAACCGGAGGGGTACCTCTCGGTGTTCTCACGATGAGGTCTCGGCGTCTTTTTGTCAGCGGGGCCCGGGTAGAATTTAACTCAGAATTAAATTCTTATCGGGGCCCCGACGGGCCAAAAAATAGCCCGGTAGCCACAGAGTGCCCCGCGGGGCCACGTCGGGGTCCCGCCTGAAAGTGGTAAAAAACAGCCCAGGAACTACCCGCCAGGGCCCCTTTTCTCAATTGGGACCTTAGCTTAACGGTTATAATTCAGACTCAGCCAGTATTGCAAACGGCCACCATAACGCTGCAGGTACTATACTGGTAGTGTACAACCTTAATACAAAGAACCTTACAGAACAAGTAACGACAAGAAAATAATATCATGAAAGTCCATCTGTGTTGGTAGTAATCATAGTAAAAAGTTTAACTTTATTCAAACACACATGTTGTTTCAACAACAAAATATGCCAAGTTGAAATTATTGACATCTTTAGATGTGAGCTAAGTTTTGGGCGACAAGGAAAAGAATTTTGATAAAATATAACCAAATGCTTCATGCATTTAGCAATATTTGCCTTCGACAGAAGGCTATAAAATCGTTTTGGTACTGTTTAGCAGATTATGCACGATAAAATTTAAAGGCATGATCCGAGGTTCACGATTTTTGGTAGCCACGTCGTCTTAGTAATGGGCATTGTCAAGGCCAAAAATGGGCATCGTGGGGGGTTCTTACTTGACTGGAGCTGACCTTTTGTGTTTTTTGTTGTTATCAAGATAACTCGGGAAATTCTTTCATGGTTGTCTATGATTTTTAGTTGGCAAGTTACCGTTGAGAATACAAAGGTCAAGTTCGGAAATGGGCCTCGTGGGGGGTTCCCATGTCATTAAATTTGACCTTTTGTGTTGGTCGTTATTTTTGTTAGCAGGATAATTCGAGAATCTGCTTGCTGAGAAAGTCCGAAACGTACCTGTGACAGCCGTTGAATTAACCGTGCTGCTCTGCCCAAACCGACTGACAGCCGTCAAGCTGATGACGTATTGAGTAGCAGGGACAAGTCCTTGTATCCGATAGTTACCGGCGTCACCAGGAAGGGCGATGGAGCTGAGTGACCGCCGCAGTCTGTGACGCTCCGTGCTCCTGTACATGAGTTCGTATTCTAACAGTTCAGCGACTGGTGGGATCCAGGATAGAGTCAGGCTGCTGTACCTGATGTCGCTCAGTAACAGCTGCCGAGGAAGATCGGTATCTGCCGTTTGAATGGAAAACATTATAAAGGTTCAGCAGCCATACCCAATTAGGCTACAGCAAGTAAATTTTATGAATGGCATTCTCCGCAGACTTCACATCTAATGCGAGCGGGCGAAAAAACAAGACGGGACGAAAAAAACAAGGTTTTGATTCAGTGGGAACATTACATATACACAGCCAACATCACATGTCACTGCATCGTAATCACATGCAAAGTAATAAACAAAACATTAAATCAGAGCGCTAATGTCATCCATAAAAATTACTTGCTGTGGCCTTAAGTAAAAGCATCTAACGCGTGCGCAGCTCTGCCAAGACTTCTGTTTTACATGTACAGGGCTCGAAATTATGTTTTGTTTTAATAGAATGCACTCTTGTACCCAACCGAACAATCGGGTGCACAAAAGATTAGGGTGCGCCATATAAAATGATCTTAAACAACAAAGATTTTATCATTTTTCTGACACTTAGATGTCATGTTTAATATCTGTATATATTAATGACCATAATTTATGTATTTAACCAGGGCATGCCCTTAGTAATAGCTTCTAGCTAGTTGGGCTGCCCTGGCTGTCTTGTATCAGCCAAACCAATAAACAATAAACAATGTTTAATATGTTTATATTTGTAAACGTATGAAAATATTTGGGTGCATCGGTGCACTCACAGAAACTAATTGGATGCACAGCTCATTATTTAAAGCACCGTATATGTAATGGCTACACATGATACCAACGGAAGAAATACATGTATATGACAAACGATGAAAGTGTGGTTTTGAAGCGGTGATGTATATCGCATATATAGAATGTACAAATTTGCTAAAATTGATTTCAAATCATACATGGCGTCTTTCCTATTAGTATTTAATATTGAATTCTCACCTGTTACGATGGTTAGGCTTGCTTGGGGTCCCTCGATGGATAGACTGATACAGGCTACAGTCACCACGTACTCTGTAGCAGGGGTTAAAGACATGAACGCTGCAGAAGTCGCTGAGTCTGTCAAATACTGTTTGAAAACTGTGAGTGTTGTTTCCTTGTCTGTTACCCACACTCGGTAGGCAACCACCAGGGCTCCTGCAGTCTTTGACCATTGGACAGAGGCCGAACTCTCGGTGATACGGCTAATGGTGACGTTTGTAGGAGGTGGCAGTCCTGTAGTTGAAACAAGAAGTTTATATATTTATCTATTTGTATCTATTCCTATTTTCTTTAGCCAGGGTAGCTTTTAAACACTGCTTTGCAGTGGGACCCCGAACGCAGAACACATTAAAAACATATAAATAATATAATACAAAAAACAAAACAATATGGCAAGACAGTACTTACAGGCCAAAACAAACATATGTACGAATCTACAAGCTTTGAAGTCTAATAGACACACATTGCCATTATCCATACTCATAGCCCATATTTTTCATTCATGTGTTACATTCTAAGAGACATTCTATGTATAATATGTTACATTCTAAGGGACATTATATGTGTATATTTGTTTGAACTGTATGCAAATTTGAACCTTGGACGAGTAGCCCAACAGGTTTCGAAATAAATGAAATAAAACATTTAGTTATAGTGGCTGACGTTTGTAGAATTGTTTGCTTTTTTTCATTTGGAATAGTTTACATAAGAAACATTGATGTTCTGCAATTCAGTCATTAACATATCAATTGTGCATTACAAAGACTGGCATTTTTACCCTAAACAATTGAATATTTTTTAATCCTTTTATTAATTTACGAAAATGTGTTGATCTAATATTCCCTGTTATATTCTTGGAACGTGACGTCAGAGACACGTGACCGTAGAAGCGGGTCATGCATGCCAGATAACTTGTGTCGCCCCCCGTCTCTGTTCAGGGTAGGCCTGTGAGCTCTTATGTAGACCGCTTTGTTACTTAGTGTTAGAAGTTAAAGCTTAGTCTTTATTTCATAATGACTTGTATCAACACAGATGAACTTTCTTGCTAAATATTATAGTATACTCACCAGTAATACAATCCACGGTGGCGTTAGCGCTGTCATTCCACAGTCCAAAGGCAAGGACAGTGAAGGAGTACTCCACTCCGCTGTACAATCCGGATATTTCCACATTGGTGTCGTTACGGGTCCAGAACGATGTCATCAATGAGTGTTGGTATAATCCTGAAGCAAATAAAAATTGTGCTTTCTGTAACTACATGTCTCACTAACTCACACGCATCTAAAAGAAGAACATGATAACTTATGGCAGAACAATTATACATACAGGGTACATGTACAACATATGGTAGCTGTTCTAAGCAATAAGCCCGATAAGCAATTTAACTACACACACTTAAATACTCTTTAGTCTTTGGTAGAATTTCGAAAACATATATATAATGTATTACGTATATCATTAAACTTGGCCTCTTCATGCAGCCCAAATAGGTCTTGGAACCAAACTCTTGCCAACAACCGACAAATGCAGAAGAAAAAAAGAGAAAGGTTGATAAGGAAAATGCAAATAAGAACTCACCTGACACAGGAATGTACAAAATGCTGTAACCCATAATTCGAGCAACTGGCTTGGTCCAGCTTACAGAGATGGACGTCGTTGTCGTAGACGAACAAGAAAGATGCGACACGGGATCAAATCCTGTAAGGCATTGAGAAAGCATATTTTATTAACGATTTTGCCTTCGTCAGAAGAGCATAACTCGAGAAGATCTGAAGGTATGATTTTGTAGGTAGCAATTATGGAGACGACGCTTAAGTTTGAAAATGGTAATCCTGTCATGTTACGTTACTGCAGAAGGTTTTTACAAAAATTTGGTTTGTGTAGAACATAACCCGAGAAGCTGTAGATGGATGTTGATGATATTTGGTGAATGGTTAGGGGCAGCAAAAAATGGACAAGTTCGATAATGCCCCCTCCCCTAGCGGGTATGTACTGTTCGGTTAAGTCTGAGGCACCTAGACTTTACCTGATCTAAACAATGTGCTAAATCTTACCATCACAGGCGATCCCATCCATGCTTAGGTTGTAACCAGTCGCACAGAAGCAGTTGAAGCTACCGATGGTGTTATTACAGAACTGCCCACAGCCTCCATTTGCTGTTTCACATTCATCAACGTCTATTAACAACAAGAGGAAATGGTTTGGCCTAACATGGAATGATGATGTTAAAACGTTCGTTCCAACACAAGAGATAGTTATTATCCACAGCTGAAGAAGACTGGAGTGACTGGTACAAAGCTAGCTCTAGGTGTGAACTATCTCGTATGATGTAATGTAAGTACCAACACAAATGAACTTTCGTGACAGAATGATAGACTTTGATGTATTTCTTTAATGAAATACCAGAGTTATGGCAGAAATCAAATCATACATACCATCACAGACTAACCCATTGACATTCAGGATGTAGCCGGTACGACAAAAGCATTCAAAACTACCGACGGTGTTGTTGCAAATCTGGGCACAGCCGCCATTTTCTGTATCACATTCATCTATGTCTGCAAAAGATGTAAAGAACACATTTCATGTAAATCTTAGTGGCCGGGGCGTCACTCGGATGTACATGTATGACGAGTGAAATATAGTCAAGTTAATGTTTTTCCTCACAGCCAATGATATCCAGGATCCTAGATACAAACAAAAAAGTGCGGAAGGAAAACATAAAATTCAAAAGGAAAAACCGTTATATGCAGCAAATTAAAAATCGACCCGTTGCCTACCATCACATGTAAATTCGTCGGCATTCAGTGCATAACCGATGCCACAGGCGCACTGGAAACTTCCTACGGTGTTATTACACATCTGATCACAATCGCCATTTGCCGTATTACATTCGTTGATATCTAAAAGAAATCAACAACAGCAAAGAAAACAAACTTATTAATGATGATATGTAATTGGTCAATATAGATAAACAAAACTCTGTCAATGTGGTATGTGGTGTGGTATAACACTTTTCAAAGAAACGCAAAAGACAAATACATTCGTCACCATCACAGGAAAATCCATCGCCATGTAAGTTATAGCCCATTTCACAGGAACACTCAAAGCTTCCTATGGAGTTGATGCAGTTTTGGTCACATCCACCGTTTGCAGTGGCACACTCATTCAAGTCTGTATGGTTCAGAAAACAACATGTTATTTCGCGAATTTGATCTGTATCAACAGATAAAATATTTTCTAAAAAAACATAAAATATTGCTTCAATCAATGTTCCAAAATTCGTATGGGAAACATATGTTTTATAGTACAAAACACTTGTTTCTGGTTAATTTATAATAGACATATGCATAGCTTACCATCACAAGCAAAGCTATTGCTATTCAGTGTGTATCCATTAGAGCAGGAACACTGAAAAATCCCGATGTTGTTGGTGCAAGTCTGGTCACAGCCTCCGTTAGCAGAAGCACATTCATCCACATCTGTGTTGGAAAACAAGGAGATTGTACAATACGTTAGGAGTAGGAAATTCCAGGCTATGTATAGCCATTCAAATGAATTAATTAAAATTCAAATTAAACGTTTAGTAAATCACAGTGTGGATTGTAACGATGATGTTCATGATGAAGATGATGGTTATGATGATGATGAAGTTATTATTTGATGTAAAACAACACACTTTAGCAGGACACAACACAACACAAATGTAAGGCCAGATTGATTTTATTTTATTCTATGAATGACATCCGCGCGCGCATTGATTTTTGTCTATTTTAAAAAAAATTCTCTGAGGCTCTGGCCTGGGTACCATCCACTATAGTCCATGGTAAATAGCGACAATAGGGAGCCGGTCGTAACTACACGGAGGATGGTACCCAGGCTACCGAGGCTCCAAGGGACTACCGAACTCAGTACTGTGCCGACTGGCCAGCATGTACGGCTTGTCGTAAAAAGCCGCTACGTTCTAATGCAAATTCACAATAATAGCTTTGTATTTCTGTGGTTTAGCAGCATCTTTCTTGGTTGCAATTTTTTATTCGCCCGCGCACACTAGTTTGGCGTCTTTAGAGTATGTCATCCATAGAATTAAGACTGGCCTGACAGAGTTGCGTACCGTCACACGTAACGCTATCGGCGTTCAGACCGTAGCCAGTTCCACAAGAGCACTGAAAACTCCCGATGCCGTTCGTACAAGTCTGCGCACAGCCACCTTTCCCAGAGGCACATTCGTCGATGTCTGTATCAAACAGAATAGAACCAGACATACAAATGAACGTACGTCTGCAGAACCAAAGCACGGTATCTATAAGTTTCTTTCGCATTGAAGTAACAACTTTAAGAGTCTTGATCCACAAGGTTCTAGCATATAAACTAGCATATAAACTAAAGGCAATTTTTTACTTTTATCTTGCCTAACTACATATATAGCTGCTCAAACATTGACCCTATAAGGGGATTGTAAATGCTCAAAAGAAACTAAAATATATATATATATGTCTTTCTTTTATGCTGAGTAGACTATTAGACGCAAGCTATTTATGCAAAAACCTAACAAAACAACTACAAGCAAGGAGCTTTCATCACAGTTTAGTATATGTCTTTCGAAATAATATGTTGTTAATATGTTGTTGAATATAATAAACTGAATGCTGAAAACCCGATCAATGAATAACAAAATTAATAAACATACCATCGCAAGTAAAGCCATCGTTATTCAGACGGTACCCATTTTGACAGGAGCACTGGAAACTCCCGATAAAATTGGTGCAGGTTTGTTCACATCCACCATTTCCAATGTAGCATTCTTCAACGTCTGTAAAAAATGAATGCATTTTATTACCTACCGTTTGGTGGAATAAAACTTACCTATACTTTACCTGCATTAGCGAGAACAAGAAGAATTGAATCCATAATTATTTAGCCAAACTTACAGCATGCAAGAATTAATAATATTTAAAAAGTAAAACAAAATATGTGCATCAATATCATTTGCGTATCTAAATTTAAATTCATACAATCATCTTCATGTCGGAGAGCATTCCAAAGCCTTTCTGTATTTCACTATGTTCTTATAGTCCTGGGCCTGCACCCCAAAATCAACCCATCGTAGATCAATGCATTTGTAAAATGAACAGAACAGAGGTGTATATTTTATTAACATTTGCCCACCGTCACAAAGAAATCCATTAGCATTCAAAGTATATCCAGATGCACAGGAACAACTGACACTACCAATAGTGTTGGTACAGGTCTGGGCACAGCCACCGTTTGCAGCCAAACATTCATCCACATCTAAGAGAAGGAGACACATAATGTACATTTATGTTACTGCTAAGTTTGAATTCAGTATGTTGCGTGGTGCGAGGACACTGGCATGTTTTCGTAGCAACATTTTAGAGTTTAAATGCGTCTAAGTTGCAGGCGAAAGGAAAATGTTTTAGACGCGTTCCTGTTAATACCAAATCGGTACATACATGTATGGCGTTTACAATTTTCACTGCAATTCAACACAAGATGTCCTCACTTTGAATGAAAGAATCCATGCGTGCTGAAAGAATCCATAGTTGCAAAGTTTAAGCCTTAGTTCCAACACGGAAAAAAAGATTCACCATGAATTTTGGATCGAACACGTCAACCTTCATCAGGTGTATGATCCAATTGTTGCCTCTCGCTTCTGACTTCCGGAGAGTCAGTGATGAAGGTTGACGTGTTCGAAAATTCTCGATGAATCTTCGACACTAGAGGAATGCGGTTTTGCTTATGTTTGGCATTCGTCATTGTCTTCTACCTTCAATTTGCCCCAAATTATATCTTCCATCAACCAACGTCTTAAGGACATGTATCTCCAATCTTTTATATCAGAAATGCGGAACAACAACAAATTACGGACATACAGATTATTAAAATATAGTTACAACGAGGAAAAATATCTGAAAATTACAAACATTCGACACAGAACAACCATCACAAAACTCCGGATAAGTTCACACAAACTCCACATAGCAAAAGGCAGACACAACTGCATTCCTCTAGATCAAAGGATCTGCCAATTTTGCAATTTAGATAAGATAGAGGATGAGTATCATTTTGTAGTCGATTGTACGTCATATAGTAATGACAGAGATTTCCTATATTCTTATATAATAGATAAGTTCCCTAGCTTTGGACATTTAAATGAAGCAGATAAATTCATATTTCTTATGAAACTTGACAAACCATGTATCACTAGTTCTATATGCTCGTACATCTATAACTGCGCCAAGAAGCGAGAAGAAGTCGAACAATGTAAATAGTAGATCACATTAGTATGTATAGTTTAAGTATCATTGCTGTATCCTTTTTCCTTGCCTATTCATTACCTGTACTTAGCTTGTTAGAGCACAAACGTACAATAAAGGTCTTTCATTCATTTCTTTTCGTGTTGGAACCAAAGGCTTAAACTTTGTAACTCAAGATATTCTCACCACTACAAGTGTGACCATCGTCGTTTAATCTGTAGCCAGCTCCACAAGAACACCCGTAGCTCCCGAAGATGTTGTTACAGTTCTGATGACAGCCGGCATTTCCACTGGTACATTCATCGACATCTGTAGATGATAGATGAACAAAGAATTAAGTTTCCTACGTGTGAAATATTTCCAAACCGTAACGTGGCAGGACGGTACTTCATGGCCAATGGAAATTACAGTAGATATTCTAAATTGAACACTATAGGATTCTCATATGGGGACAAGCAAAACCGTAAAAAAAACGACTGAAAAAAGCTTCCAAGACACCGTAGCTAAGATGAAGGTCTTCAACAAGATATTTTATGTTTTTTTAGATTAAACAACGTCAACGTATCCAATTATTGTAAACGTTCGTACCTATCCCATACTAGGCACCCACTGTTGTATTAGTGAAATTAGATAGCATTAGGAAAGTGTAGTTATGTACTAGTAGATGCCATACGTCGTACCCAGCAGTACAGTTATTATTATTATCATTATTATAATTATCATTATCATGCAGTATGTCACATAACGTGAGATGAGTGTACGATGGCACTTACCATTACATGTGCGGCTGTCTACGCTTAATTCGAATCCATCTACACAGGAACACTGGAAGCTGCCAATGGTGTTGGTACATACATGGTCACAGCCGCCATTTACAGCTGAACATTCATCAATGTCTGCAACATACATGCAACAAGAAAATACAGTTCATACACGTTGCAACAGGGCAGAGAGTCAATACTATCTTGATTTTTCTCTATCAAGTAGTCAGTAGCTCTTCGAAGTAAAATGAAGACCCAGATCTTGATTGAGATATTTGAGGTCTGCAAATATACAAAACAAGAAAATATTTTTTAGTTTTAATTTAGACTGATAACATTTCACGGCTAATCAGGTGAGTTCGAAAGGGTATTTCATAACTATTGAAAACTGTTTTATCAACCAGTGAACATTAATTAGTACAACTTGCTAAAAACATAGCAGTGGGACCCCATATTTTGTGTAGATCCGTACATTTTGCGGAGAAAAGTGCCATATTCTTCAGATGAGACATCCAGTAGAGAATAGGTGCTGGAGTGACTTCTAAGTTAGCCGTAGGAAAAATGTTGCGTTTCCTGTTTCCCGACCAATAGAAACCCACTGAGGCTAATTACTTTATCTATTGGTCAATATCCTACCGTTGCATGACGGGATGTTACTGCTCCATGTCCGGTCTGCCTGGCAGGTAGAAATGGACTCTCCCACCAGATCATATCCCTGGTCACACGTGAACTGTACCACGTCCTGGTAAAAGTTGGAGCCGCTCGAAATACCATTAATAGGAGACGACGACACTGGGCACTGGACACCTAAATTACATATCAACAAAATATATATTCTTAACAAAACATAACTATCAATGACTTCAAAAGGAAATTATGAATTAATTAATTGATTGATTGATTACAGTAAGATTACAAGTAAAATTACAGCAATATCTTATTATCTTATTATATCTTATTATACTAATGTTGATATGTGCATGTTCAACTTCTTCTCCCTTCTTAAGACAATTGTAGATATATGACCATATGGAGCTAATTTTATATGGCTTGTCTACTTTCATAAGGAATAAGAATTGAATTTTTCTGTTCTCTCTAAATGTCTCAAGCTCTGGAACGTATCTTGTATATGTATATTAAGTTCAGAGGGTATCTCTCATTCAATCAATTAATCAATGACTGGTTATCATTTGCATACTCTATTAGAGACAATGTTAAATTTGTCTCCTACGTGTACAGGTTGGGACATTCCCACTCCATGTTCTGTCAGCTTGGCAGGTCAAGCTGGAAAGTCCAACAAGCTCGTATCCAGGATCGCACAAGAACGTCACCACGTCTTGGTAGAAATTGTCACCAGTCTTTCTACCGTTGTCAGGTGCTGTGAGCGGCGGGCACTGTGCGCCTGAGAATAGAGTAATATATGTTTGCTAGCTAAATAAGTAGCAGGCCATTATGGTTCTACGTAAACAACCAGTAGGTAGTCCCTGTGATAATAATGGCATCTGTACAAGATATTTGATGCTTCTATTCCCCGCCGCTGGGTGCCGCTTCAATGAGAACGATGCGGTCACAAACATGTATATCCTGTCATGGATCATTGAATGTAGCAGGACCACCGTACTTTTAGTCGGTAATTGGTATTGGTCATGTAGAAAGAATCACAAACAACCCGATAAAACGTAATGGATAGATAGCAAATAAACATAAGACTTCTCAACTTTTTTAACCTTTAGCACAGTGAATAGCTGTTTTACTAGCAATTCCCCTATTGGCTCATGCCGCAAGAATGGAGCTAACAGGACTTGAATTAAACCTTACGTGTACAGCTGGGAGCACTACCACTCCAGGTGCCGTCTGCCTGACACGTTATGGATGCCGAACCTTCCAGTTCGTAACCAGACTCACAGGTGAAGCTCATCACGTCCTGGTAGTAGTTGTCGCCACTCGAATCACCATTCGTTGGAGATTGCAGCGCTGGGCATTGCACACCTGGCAAAACCAAAGAATAAGAGGTTTACAAATGACGAATGCTGCCTGTGGAAATTTTTTTTCTCTCTATTAGAAGCTTCTATTTACAAATATCATATATCAAATTCAATATTTAGTTGTTGACATATAAACTTTTTCTATCCTACGTGTGCAGGTTGGGACGATCCCACTCCACGTGGCGTCAGCTCCACAAGTCACGCTGGAGCTTCCATCAAGCACGTATCCAGGGTCACACGTGAAGGTCACCACGTCTTGGTAGGAATTGCCGCCAGTCTTCCCTCCGTTCTCAGGAGCTGCCAGTACTGGACACTGCACAACTAAAACATGGCGAAAAACATGCTTCAAAATAAAGGAAGATCCTTCCTTAGAAAGTCAGCGTTTTGTATGTGACTTTTTTAAAGAGTAGAGAAGCAACGGATGCACCACAGAGCATCCCCAGAAGCCTGAGATGTCTGTGCATAGAAAGGAATGAGCGGCCTGAACTGGAAGTGCAAAGGACCGAAGGAATCTACTCTACTCTACTCTACTCTACTCTACTCTACTCTACTCTACCCTACTACTCTACTCTACTCTACTCTACTCTACTCTACTCTACTCTACTCTACTCTACTCTACTCTACTCTACTCTACCTATACTCTACTCTACTACTCTACTCTACCTACCTATTCTACTCTACTCTACTCTACCCTACTCTACTCTACCCTACTCTACTCTACTCTACCCTACTCTACCCTACTCTACCTACTCTACTCTACTCTACTCTACCTACTCTACTCTACTCTACCTACTCTACTCTACTCTAGTCTACTTTAGTCTACTTTACTCTAGTCTAATCTACTCTATTCTACTCTAGTCTACTCTAGTCTACTCTACTCTAGTCTACTCTACTCTATTCTACTCTACTCTACTCTACTCTACTCTACTCTAGTTTACTCTACTCTACTCTAGTCTACTCTACTCTATTCAACTCTACTCAACTCTACTCTACTCTACTCTACTCTACTCTAAAATAAGATGCAGTTACTTATGTAAAAGGTATTTGTCCAGACACTCAAGTCATACAATAGCTAGACGTTGTAGTGTTATTTATCGCTTTTTAAACTGTATTGATTCAGTTTGAAAACATCATACTTGAGCATGTCGGAGGATTTCTACTCCAGGTCAAGTCTGACTGGCAGGTAAGTGTAGAAGAACCGACCAGGTTGTATCCTGTGTTACACGTGAAGGTGATCTCATCTCCATAATTATTGGATCCGATCACCGCACCGTTTGCAGGGGGGGTCATTGTGGGACACTGTCCAACTACGGGCATAAAAAAAAGGAAAATAATCTCTATACTGCTTTACACAACAAATCGAGTGAATATAGTATCTACTCACGCAATCCAAAAAGAACATTTTGTAACAACATATGAAACGAAACACTACATCTTCAAAGAATGACGCTCGCAGCAAGCGCCACAACGTCTTGTTCCCCAAAATACGTGTACTTAGTAGTAGGCCTTCAAATTGCTTTGTTATTGATTTGCTAATGGTTATTGTTATATATCTCAATGGTTGTATTACTGGCGTCAAGAATGGAATTTTATCTATGTACGTACTTTCCCATTTCAAAATCTAAAGGCAGCGATTCTACCCCATTTCTAGAGGTTTTGGTCCAAATATTCTACTGCATTGCTAACTGAGCTCATATCATACCTTCTTTTTGGTATTGTTTGTATTGTCTGTATTCCAAATCATATACAACTATCATCATTTTTTGACAAGCTTGAAGAGAGTTGAAATTTTTTAGTAGACAGTAAGTTTCTACCCTACGTGTGCAGGTTGGGACGATCCCACTCCACGTGGTGTCAGCTCCACAAGTCACGCTGGAGCTTCCATCAAGCACGTATCCAGGATCACACGTGAAGGTCACCACGTCTTGGTAGGAATTGTCGCCAGTCTTTCCTCCGTTCTCAGGAGCTGCCAGTACTGGACACTGCACAACTAGAACATGGAGTAACACATGTTTAACATATCCTATTGAGCAAGGGCCCTTCCGTGGAAATTCAGTTGTTTTTGTATGCACCATACTGTACATGAAGTAACATGCAGCAACTTTTATGGCGACAATCAATAAAATAGCTGTCAAAATACAAACTAGAAAGACAGCGTTTCTACCTCATTTTAGAAGTTTGGTCAAAACATTTATAGCTTAGTTGTGTGAATATAACTGTCTTAATTCAGTTTATGAACATCATACTTGAGCATGTTTGTGGATTTCCAATATACATTATTTGAGAGAGAAATGTTGAATCAATTTACCATTTACCATGCAACCTGATGAAGCTATTTCACATGTAAATAGATACTACATAGATACATAGCTGGATACATGTGTAGATAGACTTCGGATACGTACAAGGTATACGTAATAGATACTATGGCGTGTCTCGGGTAATTCAATTATGTTTCAAAAATAATACCTTCACATGTTGGAGGACTTCCATCCCAAGTCAGATCTTCCTGACAGGTAAGTGTAGAAGAACCGACCAGGTTGTACCCTGTGTTACACGTGAAGGTGAGGACCATGTCACCGCTCACATCACCGTTTGTAGGTGCTGTCAAGGCCGGGCACGGTACGGCTGTACATGAGAAGGCAAAGATATATCTAACTAAGTTGTACCCTGTGTTACACGTGAAGGTGAGGACGTTTTCGCCGCTCATGGTACCGTTTGTAGGTGCTGTCAGGATGGGACACTGTTGTACAGCTGGACATAGGAATGCAGGCATTCACTAATAAGCACAGTACTGGTGGGAAAGTCAATAGTGAATGCAAAGTTTCCAAATATGCTATACCAAAAAATCTTCATATTACAGAATGTCAGCAATTCATATTCTTTTCTACCTTTTACTTAGAGAAATTGCCTGAAGCGTTTCTGCCCTATGTTTAGGTGAATACAATTATTAAGAACATTGTGCAGTTCGGATTTTCTGGCCTACGTAACTTGCTACAACACAGTGTATTTATGTCAGAACTTCTTACATTGGCAAGTTGGTGCGCTCCCGTTCCATATGCCTGGCAACTCATACCCACAAAACCGTGAGAAGTTGCCATTCAGCGTGTATCCTGGGTCACATGAGTAGAAGGCCACCAATCCAAAGTACGCGGGGTAGTCCAAGCTTGTGTAGACATACATTATACTGCCGTTTGAAGGGCTAGATAGCGGGTAGGGGCAATCCAGCTCGACTGAAAAAATAGAAATGCACGTAACCATTCACAATAATATATCACAGTGACTATAATCAAAACACAGGAAATAGATCAGTTTGAAAACATAAAGTTTCTATCCTACTTGTGCAGGCTGGAACGATCCCACTCTCCAAGTTATCAAATATGAAACTATCATCATTCTTAAACACAGAAAGTTAAGTTGGTATCATGTAGTAGACCTACAAGGTATGCAGATTGGGACGACCCCACTCCACGTGGCGTCAGCTCCACAAGTCAAGCTGGAGCTTCCATCAAGCACGTATCCAGGATCACACGTGAAGGTCACCCTGTCCTGGTAGGAATTGCCGCCAGTCTTTCCTCCGTTCTCAGGAGCTGCCAGTACTGGACACTGCACAACTAAAAAAGGAGTAAAATATGTTTTGTATGTTCTATTGAGCAAATGTTCTGCCGTGGTAAGTTAGCTTTTTGTAGGCATCTTCCTTAAAGCACCATGTAGTAACTTTTATGGCACCATCAATGAAAAATAGCTCTCAAAATCCAAACTACCGAGTCAGAATTTCTAGACGCTTCGATCCAAAACATTTATAGCTATTTAATTTTGTCTGAATGTAACTGTTTATCAGTTTCTTCATACTTGAGCATGTCGGTGCACTTCTACTCCAGGTCAGGTCTAACTGGCAGGTAAGTGTAGAAGAACCGACCAGGTTGTATCCTGTGTAGCACGTAAAGGTGATCTCATCTCCATAATTATTGGATCCGCTCACCGCACCGTTTGCAGGGGCTGTCAGTATGGGACACTGTCCAACTACAAATAAAAAGATCATCTCTGTCTCATACAACGTATCAAATGAATAACTGTCGTAATTCAAAAATAACTTCAGTCAAAGAGAAACAATTAGTCACTGCGCAATACTACCCCAAATAGAATACCCTTTCAATACATGTATATATATTGTGTGTATTGACTTCGTTCATTATACACTAATCCCATTGCGGGGTCATCTGCTAGTCTCTTGTACAGATGCTGTATACATGTATAGATTGCGCATTTTAGGCATCCTCTCGTTCCATAACAACTAATTTAAAAACATGTATACAATTACATAACAACCAACAAATATTCTGTACCATACAAAGCTCTCCAAGAAAGTACAATTACTGAAAGACTGCCAAGATTCTGGCATGTTACCTTCACATGTTGGTGGACTTCCATCCCAAGTCCCATCCAACTGGCATGTGAGTGTAGAAGGACCGACCAGGTTGTACCCTGTGTTACACGTGAAGGTGAGGACGTTTTCGCCAGTCATGGTACCGTTTGTAGGTGCTGTCAGGATGGGACACTGTTGTGCAGCTGGACATAGGAATGCAGGCATTCACTAATAAGCACAGTACTGGTGGGAAAGTCAATAGTAAATGCATAACAATACACTACGTCAGAACTTCTTACATTGGCAAGTTGGTGCGCTTCCATTCCATATGCCTGGCAACTCATACCCACAAAACCGTGAGAAGTTGCCATTCAGCGTGTATCCTGGGTCACATGAGTAGACGGCCACCCATCCGATGTAATTGGAGTAGTCCAAGCTTGTGTAGACATACATTATACTGCCGTTTGAAGGGCTAGATAGTGGTAGGGCAATACAGCTCGACTGAAAAATAGAAATGCACGTTACCATTCACAATAATATATCACAGTGACTATAAACACAGGAACTATATGTGTTTGAAAACATAAAGTTTCTATCCTACTTGTGCAGGTTGGAACGATCCCACTCTCCAAGTTATCAAATATGAAACTATCATCATTCTTAAACACTGAAAGTTAAGTTGGTATCATGTAGTAGACCTACAAGGTACATGTATGCAGATTGGGACGACCCCACTCCACGTGGCGTCAGCTCCACAAGTCAAGCTGGAGCTTCCATCAAGCACGTATCCAGGATCACACGTGAAGGTCACCCTGTCCTGGTAGGAATTGCCGCCAGTCTTTCCTCCGTTCTCAGGAGCTGTTAGTACTGGACACTGCACAACTAAAAATGGAGTAAAATATGTTTTGTAATGTTCTATTGAGCAAACGTTCTGCCGTGGTAAGGTAGCTTTTTGCATGCATCTTCCTTAAAGCAACTTTTATGGCACCATCAATGAAAAAATAGCTGTCAAAGTCCAAACTACCGAGTCAGAATTTCTAGACGCTTCGATCCAAAACGTCTATAGCTATTTAATTTTGTCTGAATGTAACTGTCTTAATCAGTTTCTTCATACTTAAGCATTTCGGTGCACTTCTACTCCAGGTCAGGTCTAACTGGCAGGTAAGTGTAGAAGAACCGACCAGGTTGTATCCTGTGTTACACGTGAAGGTGATCTCATCTCCATAACTATTAGATCCGCTCACCGCACCGTTTGCAGGGGCTGTCAGTATGGGACACTGTCCAACTACAAATAAAAAAAATGTGGACAAAAAGTCAATGCCTGTGGCTGACAATTGCAAACCAAGAATTCCGAGAGCTCATACCTCCATGAAATATGGGCTTGATATGTAAATGTATATTTTTTCCTCTTTAATTATGCAAATTACATCCGCATTAACATGATATATGCATCGTGATGTATGTTAACTTTTGATTAACTTACAGATGTCCAAAGTATGACATTCCCATTATTCACCATTAAGAAATCATAGAATTTTTGCATAAATTATGCAAAGTAGGTCATCATTTGCATAATTAGTATCTGTTGATGTTCTGCCTGCCATAGGTTACATACATTACATGTATGAAAGTAGTATAATGTAAAACACTGTAATCATAGAATTTCCTCATTAATTATGCAAATAAAGTCCTCATTTGCATAATTTGCATTTAATCATGTACATCTCTCTCTCAGCTACCTACACACCAAAAATTATGAAAATATGTTGTTCCTATCTGGACTTATTGGCTTTTAAACATTTCGCCAGAAAGTGCCCTGCAGTTCCAGAACAAGCTGCTAGGGGGACCAAACTCACACCACTTATTCCTGACAGGAAAACCAATCTGTCACCAAAACATCAAGACCACAGCATGTTCAGGACAAAAGATACAAAAACCGGAAGTTCTGCTGCAGTACCAAGGTCATCCACCAGGAGGCCCATATTTGACCTTGACGTTTGTCTTCCTAAGACTTACCAACATACCAAATATCATCATAATCCATAAAGGCGTTCTGAAGTTATGCTGACCACAAAGTTGCGGAAACACACACAGACATACATACATACATACAGACAGACGCCGCCGAAAACAATACCTCCATTTTTCATGGAGGTAAAGATCATCTCTGTCTCATACAACGTATCAAATGAATAACTGTCGTAATTCAAAAATAACTTCAGTCAAAGAGAAACAATTAGTCACTGCGCAATACTACCCAAAATAGAATACCCTTTCAATACATGTGTATATTGTGTGTGTATTGACTCCGTTCATTATACACTAATCCCATGGCGGGGTCATCTGCTAGTCTCTTGTACAGATGCTGTATACATGTAGATGTATAGATTGAGCATTTTAGGCATCTTCTCGTTCCATAACAACTAATAAGGCATCTTCTCGTTCCATAAAATCATAAAACATGTATACAATTACATGTACATAACAACCAACAAATATTCTGTACCATACAAAGCTCTCCAAGAAAGTACAATTACTGAAAGACTGCCAAGATTCTGGCATGTTACCTTCACATGTTGGTGGACTTCCATCCCAAGTCCCATCCAACTGGCACGTGAGTGTAGAAGAACCGACCAGGTTGTACCCTGTGTTACACGTGAAGGTGAGGACGTTTTCGCCGCTCATGGTACCGTCTGTAGGTGCTGTCAGGATGGGACACTGATGCATCTGTGCAGCTAAACATAAACATGCACGCATTGAGTTATAAATACTGCAGAGGAAGTCAATAATTAATAGAAACTTCCCAAATATGCAGAAACCAAAAACAAATATTCGTTTTACAGAATGTCAGCAATTGATATCCTTTTTTTTTACCTTTTCCTTAAAGAAATTGGCTGAAGCGTTTCTGTCCTACAATTATAGTATAATGTACAGTTGGGGTATGCTGGCCTATGTAACTTGCTACAACATAATACGCTATATTATATACAATAAGTGATAGATACTATGGTATGGATGGTGTAAAGGCAATCAATATATTACCTTCACAAGTTGGTGGACTTCCATCCCAAGTCCCATCCAACTGGCATGTGAGTGTAGAAGGACCGACCAGGTTGTACCCTGTGTTACACGTGAAGGTGAGGACGTTTTCGCCGCTCATGGTACCGTCTGTAGGTGCTGTCAGGATGGGACACTGATGCATCTGTGCAGCTGAACATAAACATGCACGCATTGAGTTATAAATACTGCAGAGGAAGTCAATAATTAATAGAAACTTCCCAAATATGCAGAAACCAAAAGAAAATATTCATTTTCCTTAAAGAAATTGGCTGAAGCGTTTCTGTCCTACAATTATAGTATAATGTACAGTTGGAATATGCTGGTCTACGTAACTGGCTGCATCATAATACGCTATATTATATACAATAAGTGATAGATACTATGGTGTGGATGGTGTAAAGGCAATCAATATATTACCTTCACATGTTGGAGGACTTCCATCCCAAGTCCCATCTATCTGGCAGGTAAGTGTAGAAGGACCGACCAGGCTGTATCCTGTGTTGCACGTGAAGGTGACCATTTCTCCATAATAGAAGCCGCTTATCGCACCGTTTACAGGGTCTGTCGGTAATGGGCACTGTCCAGCATCTACAGGTAAATAAAAAAGTAATACAATCTCTGTCCTGATTTACACAACGTACCGATCGAATGCAATATCTGCTCTCATAATTAAAATATTTTCCCAACAAAATAATTATGAAACGAAGTGTTTTTATACTTTCTTTCATGGCGGGGGGTTGGACTCACGTTCATCAAAACGTTTGCATTTATGTGTGTTGTTTTTAGTGACTTGTCAAATATTTCATTTTCAACGCACAGGTGGCGGCTAGGATATATGTTGTGCACAAATTGAGTAGGCAGCCACTTTGTCTTTGTTTTTACCTCCATGAAAAATGGAGGTATTGTTTTTGGTGTGTCTGTCTGTATGTATGTATGTATGTATGTATGTGTGTCTGTCTGTGTGTGTTTCCGCAACTTTGTGGTCAGCATAACTTCAGAACGCCTTTATGGATTATGATGATATTTGGTATGTTGGTAAGTCTTAGGAAGACAAACGTCAAGGTCAAATATGGGCCTCCTGGTGGATGACCTTGGTGCTGCAGCAGAACTTCCGGTTTTTGTATCTTTTGTCCTGAACATGCTATGGTCTTGATGTATTGGGGACAGATTGGTTTTTCTGTCAGGAATAAGTGGTGTGAGTTTGGTCCCCCTAGCAGCTTGTTCTGGAACTGCAGGGCACTTTCTGGCGAAATGTTTAAAAGCCAATAAGCCCAGATAGAAACAACATATTTTCATAATTTTTGGTCTGTAGGTAGCTGAGAGATGTACATGATTAAATGCAAATTATGCAAAATTGGACTTTATTTGCATAATTAATGAGGAAATTCTATAATTACTGTGTTTTGCATTATACTACTTTCATACATGAAATGTATGTAAGGTTCCGGGTCGGAGTTTAAATCTGACCAGAGTCTAAGTAAGTGCGCAGTAAATCGCCGGAAACGTGACTTTGTATGGTATGTTTTGGCCGCGATATCCCTGAAATCGTAATATCTGTGTACATATCTTTGTATTTTCTGAAAAGCCTGTTAGTTGTAGCCTTTATAGGTGGCGTAATGTTGGTGGTCCTGCGAAGACTTCCTGGTATTAATCCGCGCGGATGGTTATGTGGCCTTTTCGCCTGACCGCCGGGATGGTACGTTCTATATGCGTTGTGGGTGTGTTCGGGCCATCGAAGATAGCGATAAACTTATCGCATCGATTTTAATTAAATTCAAATTTTGGAAACATTAGGTTCTGAGCTTCTTCGAGTGCTAAGCCGTTACCCTGGAAACATTTGTTTTTTCCATGCAGCCATGGTTAAAGATGACGAAAAAAATTACCGCTTACTTAAAAATATACTTTGATGTGCCTTATTTACCTCTAAATAAATTGGGCGCAGAATATATCAATCAAGTGTATTAATAAGCGGCAAGGCACCCCTTTCCACCAAAAGAGTGAAAAATTCCGACCCGCGTTTAGTACAGAAATGACAGCCCGTCGGGCTGAGGGTGTCAAATTGCTCGAAATACGGAAGGAAACTCCGGTCCGAGACCGTAACCTATGGCAGGCAGATACTAATTATGCAAATGATGACTTAATTTGCATAATTTATGCAAAAATTCTATGATTTCTTAATGGTGAATGATGGGAATGTCATACTTGGGACATCGGTAACCTAATCAAAAGTTAACATACATCATGATGCATATATTATGTTAATGCAGAGGTAATTTGCATAATTAAAGAAGAAATTTACATTTACATATCAAGCCCATATTTCATGGAGGTATGAAATCTCGGAATTCTTGTTTCTTTTGTATTGTTGTTGTTGTGCAAAACGAAGCAGAATCTTGTGAATAAATAAAAATCACAGCAAGCTACTCAACACAACGTCGTGTCCTTCGTTACACTAATACTGTAGTAAGCCATCGATTTTTTTTGGATAAGGATTGATTTATCTTGACTTGGACGTATTTCTGACGTTAGGACTAGTATTCCAGCTACTTGATGCTCTCTTCACAGAAGAAATATTGTTACGCAGGAGTTGTAACCACTCACTGCCCCGCTTGTAGAGGAGCCCAGTATGGAACACTGCAGCAGTGGCAATTCCTTTTCATTAGCATCATACGTGCAGGGTACGTAACTGTACGTTATGTAAATGACACCTCATATAACCAATTGCTATTGTATATCTGTTTTATTTTTTTGTATTGTTTGCCGCATGCGTTACAAGCTATCAAATATGAAACTATCATCATTCCTAACATAGAAAGTTGGTGTCTTTTATTAGTACCTACAAAATATGCAGTCTGGGACGACCCCACTCCACGTGGCGTCAGCTCCACAAGTCAAGCTGGAGCTTCCATCAAGCACGTATCCAGGATCACACGTGAAGGTGACCCTGTCCTGGTAGGAATTGCCGCCAGTCTTTCCTCCGTTCTCAGGAGCTGTTAGTACTGGACACTGCACAACTAGAACATGGAGTAACACATGATTCGTAATGTCCTATTGAGCAAAACTTTTTACAAATCTCGTGAATAAATAATAATAATATCAGCAAGCTACCGTTCAACACAATGCTTGTCCTTCAATATACTTGAATGTATAAGGCAGCCTTCAAAGTTTGTTCTAATGGTTGATTCATCTCGACTTGAATATATTTTAAGCCTAGTATTCTAGCTATTTAATGCTCTCTTTACAACAAAGAATTATGTCTTCTGTAGGTGTTGGAACTGCTCACAACACTGTTCGTAGAGGAGCCATGTATATGACACCATCTTTTACAAAAATTGCATTTGGTCCCTACATGGCAGTGTGAATGATTAAGATATCTGGAGATTTTTAAACTGTTAAGTTAGTTAACTGGTGATATAACAGTCCTTTACAAGTTAGATTGTGTGAATATTGAAACACGGAACACTGATCATATCACAGGACAATCGGTCAAAGAAAAATAATTAGCCACTACGCAATAATACCCATAAAAGAATAACCTTTACAAATAAAATCAGGTGTTTTGTGAGCTAGAGGAACAGGAAAAATACCAAGCAACTTATGATGAAGTATTTTAGTTTCTAAACGCATTCCGCGATGAGATTTCAAGTTTAATCACTTTTTATAAGCATGCATAATCTGATTTTTTAATTCATCTGAAGTATCTCATATCCAAAACATTACCTTCACATGTTGGAGGATTTCCATCCCAAGTCCCATTCTCCAGGCAGGTGAGTGTAGAAGGACCGACCAGGTTGTATCCTGCGTGGCACCTGAAGCTTGTGCCGTATAAGTCCAAGTAACCGTTTAAAGGAGGTGTCAGAGTAGGGCACTGCAGCTGTACAGCTGAACATATGAATACACGCATTGACTAATAAACATACAACTTTCCATAACTATAGTATGATGGTCAACTAGGGTGTTTAGTCTGTCCTCCAGTCTTGTTTTTACTTTGTAAAATACTGTGAATTTTGTAACTCTGTAACTCTTAGTTGTAATGTTGAACTTCAAACTGTTATTTTTAGGTAATTAATGTGTAATGATATGGATTTTATTGAATAACTTAGCAATTTTAATTTTTGTTACGTCAGATATGTCAAGAAATCAAATTGTATAGCAGGACACAATTTAGCCAACGGCTACAAGTTCTTGTTTGTTTTCACCAGTTGATTGATTGATTGATTGATTGATTGATTGATTGATTGAAACACTGCCAAGAAGTGAATACATGTACAAAGTTTCCAGATATGCTGTATCATATAAAAAAGTCTCCAATGAACCTTATTCAATCTTAGGCTCTGACAGATAAGAATTCTGACAAGTTGTGAATCAAATTATAGAATGTCAGCCATCAATATAATTACAACGGATTCATATAGAAATTGGCTGAAGCCTGAAACTACGGATTTATACAATTTGTACGTATGGAAATGGTATGAATTTTGTATCAATAAATGGAATTAGTTTCATAAGACGAACTTGTACTCTGATTCTTTCCTTTATCCGAGGTATCCTATTTATTAGAACATGCATGTATTACCTTCACATGTTGGTGGACTTCCATCCCAAGTCCCATCCAACTGGCATGTGAGTGTAGAAGAACCGACCAGGTTGTACCCTGTGTTACACGTGAAGGTGAGGACGTTTTCGCCGCTCATGGTACCGTCTGTAGGTTCTGTCAGGATGGGACATTGCTGCATCTGTGCAGCTAAACAGAGGATTGCACGCTTTGACTTATAAAGACCACTGAGGAAGTCAACAATGAAATTAATCAAGTTTCCAAATATTCTGTACCATACACAGCTCTCCAAGAAAGTCCAATTATTGAAAGACTCTGCCAAGATTCTGACATGTTTTTTTTTATTATTATTTTTTAACACTGTTTATTCAAATCATGAAAACAAGTACAGGTAGAAGTACACAGCTACTTTTAACAACTTTTACAGCCATATCCCCAAAATACACGGACCAATCACAAAGAACAGTCACTAAAAAAGATGTCTAAAAAACTTAGACACAACAGGTCTTTAGACTGCCCTAGATATCACAGATGAAGTTTCTTGACATTATTGTAGACTGAAGCTTAAATCTCCATGTACAATAAAGGTTTGTTCAATTCTTACCCTATTAAAGCCCGTATAAATACTCATGTTAAAACATGTTCTAGGGAGTCCTAGGGAGACATTAATTTCAAATATTTTCAGATTTCAGTAATGTGATGAATACCAGAAGCCAATTCCTGGACATGGCGTGAGGGAAGGAAAGATGCGAAAAAATTCTGACATGTTACCTTCACATGTTGGTGGATTTCCATCCCAAGTCAGATCTAACTGACAGGTAAGTGTAGAAGGACCGACCAGGTTGTACCCTGTGTTACACGTGAAAGTGAGGACGCTGTCGCCGTTCATAGTACCGTCTGTAGGTGCTGTCAGAGGGGGGCACTGTAACGCTGTGCATAGAGATGTACACATTGACTCATAAACAAAACAGTGAATACAAAATTTACAAATATGATGTACCACAATCAACCTTTTAAGGACTATCATTCAAA